ATGGGCTGGGGATGTGACTCAGTGGTATGGGGCCTCTGGGTTCAATCCCTGGTACCAAGGATGGAAGGAAGGAAGGAAAGATAGATACCTAGGAGTTTGCCAGATAGAGAAGAATAGCCTAGACAGCAAGAGCAAGAGCAGTGCCTGAGAAGTGGAAGTAAACCCCAAGGGACTGTAGAGCTGTCAGAGGATGAGAAGGCAGGTAGGCCAATCATCTAGGGGTTTTAAAGCTACGCATCCACCCAGCACCTCTAAAACCTCTAGTGAATGCATAGATTGTAAGTCTCCCCCAGTGTTTTGCTTTGGATGGTCTCATATTTTTGTTGTTCTCGTCTTTTGTTTGCTTTGCTTATTTTTTTTTTAATTGTAAGATACACATATTGTAAAATTCACCGTTTTAACCATTTGAAAGTGTATAACTCTCTAAGCACAGTGGTGCACACCTGTGACCCCAGCTAATGGGAGTCTGAGGCAGGAGGATTCAAGTTTGAGGCCAGTCTCAGCAACTTAGCTCAACCCTGTCAGAAAGAGAGAGAGAGAGAGAGAGAGAGAGAGAGAGAGAGAGAGAGAGAGAGAGAGAAAAGAAAAGAGGGCTTGGGGATATAGTTCAGTGATTCAATGCCCAGTGCCACAAAATTTAAAAAGAAAGAAAGAACAAGGGAGGGAAGTGTGTATAACTCAGTAGCATTAAGTACATAACTTTTTCTTTTATTAATTTTATTTGTTTGTTTGTTTTTATGTGGTACTGAGGATTAAACCCAGTGCCTCACCTGTAAGAGGCAAGTGCTCTACCACTGAGCCACAATCCCAGCCCCAACTTTTTCTTTTTAACTAATCTTGATGTGCAAAAAAGTTAGAGGAATGGTGCAAAGAACTCTCTGGAGCCTTTTCCCAGACTCACCAGATGTTGCACATTTGCTTTCTGTTCCCTTCTTCCCTTTACATAGACAGACAGATAGGGAGGGAGAGGCACCCAGTAGGAGTAGAAATGAGATCTAGCTATCTCTATGTCTATGATATAGTTTCTTCCTGAACCATGGAAGAGTACATTGAGACCTGTGTCCCTTTATTCCTAAGTACCTGGGCATGCAATACCTAGGAACAGAGCCGATCTCTGCAACCTGCAGGAACTTGGTGTTGATACAATGTGCTTTTTGTATTGGGTTATTCCCAATTATCCCCCTAGCCCATCATGGCACAGTCCTACCTCAATTCCAGAATCCAGTCCAGATTCTGGACCTAGTGTGCAAGTGTAACCCAAAAGCCCTCTCTCCTCCTCCTCCTCCTCCTCCCCCACCTCCTCCTTTTCTTCCTCCTCCTCCTCCTCCTCCTCCTCCTCCTCCTCCTCCTCCTTCTCCTTCTTCTTTTCCTGTGACACTGGGCATTGAACCCTTGGGTGCTCTACCACTAAGCTACTGAGCTACTTACCCAGCCCCTTTTATTTTGAGACAGGGTCTCACTAAGTTGCCCAGACTGGCCTCAAACTTAAACGTTCTTGCCTCAACCTCCCGAATCCCTGGGACTATAGGCATGTGCCACCATGCCTGGCCCAAGTTCTGTTCTTACTGAGGCTTCACTCCTTCTCAGCTCAAGGAGGAGGGTAGGACATTCGGCACCCACAGGGATCAGTGCTGTTCCTACCTGCACATTGCATGCTGAAAATGTCAGGCCAGTGCTGCTTGGTTCCCCGGTGACCAGCAAGTGGGAGATTAACCTTCCTAATCTATTTTTCTGGGACCAAGATTCAGATGCGTTTGCATTTGCCTTCGTGGAATGCATACCAGTGGAAGCTGCTGCTCAGTGAACCCATGGGGTTGTGAGAAGGAAGAGCGAGCTGGGAGCTCCTGAAGGCCTGAGGCTGGCTTTGGGACCTTCTCCAGGAGTCAGATGGCTGAGACTGCGGTGAGGTGGTTGGTGTGGCCTGAGACCCCTCTTGTATGAGGTGGGACCTAAAAGCTCACATCTCCCCGTGACTTGCTCTGACAAGCCTCTTAGGAGAGGCTGCTCCCAAATTATCAAAAAGTAATTCCAAGAAGGCCACTTAGTAACACAGTTTCAATACATGGGGCCGTGGGCTCTAGAGGGCAAAGCCCCTTTGGGTCTTGTCAGTGTAGATGGGTGTAGACAGCAGACTGCTCTTTTTTTTTTTTTTTTTTTTTTTTTTTTTTAGGTGGACACAACATCTTTAGTTTGTTTTTATGTGGTGCTGAGAATCAAACCCAGTGTCTCATGGATGGTAGGCGAGCGCGCTACCACTTGAGTCACAKCCCTAGCCCCAGACAGCTCCTTTTTAACTACAACAGCAGCTAGCCTTTATTGAGCTTTTACGATCTGCCCAAAGCGATGTGCTTCTCATCACTTAGTCATCTTGACTTCCCTACAATGGGCGCATTTTTACTTTTCACCATTTCAAAGATGGGAAAATGCAGACAAAAAGCTCAAGTAACTCGCACAGTCCAGTAGTGAGATTCAAATCCAGACCAGCTGGCTCCAAGGCCAGTGCTCTTCCCTGTACCATAACCCCAGAGAGGCTCAGCTAGTCCCTGAAGGACGAGAGATTTTAAGAAAGACAGAACACCAAGGAATGGGAGCTCCAAACTGGGTTTGGTTATACTGGTTGTGTGACTTTAGGCAGCTTCCCAAACACTTCAGCTGAGCCCAGTGGCTCACACCTGTAATCCCAGTGGCTCAGGAGGCAGAGGCAGGAGGATTATGAGTTCAAAGCCAGCCTCAGCAATTTAGTGAGGTGCTAAGCAACTCAGTGAGACCTTGTCTCTAATAAAATACGAAATAGGGCTGGGGATGTGCTCAGTGGTCAAGTGCCCCTGAATTCAATCCCTGGTACCCCCCAACCCCCCCCCAAAAAAAAAACCAAAAACATTTCTATGGCTCAGGTTCCTCATCTGGTAAATAAAGATAGTATCTTTTTCATAGGTTAGAGACAGTATGTTTAGAACATAGTGCAAGTAGCAATTATTATTATTATTATTGTTATTATTATAAGTAGATGTGAGGCCTAGGAAGGGTGGCACATGCCTGTAATTCCAGAGACTCAGGAGGCTGAGGTAGGAGGATCACAAGTTTGAGGCTAGCTTCAGCAATTTAGTGAGACCCTGTCTCAAAATAAAAAGTAGGAAGGGCTGGGGATGTGGTTCAGTGGTTAAGTGCCCCTGGGTTCAATCCCCAGTATAAAAAAAAAGAAAGAAAGAAAAAGAAAGAAAGAAAGAAAGAAAAAGAAAAGAAAGAAATAGAAGTGGAGGCAGCCTGAGTAGGTATCCAGGATGAATGTGGACTCTAGTGTACAGTTCTGGAGGGCCGTGGGGCGGAAGTCAATCTGGCTAGAACATGAGATGGTGTAATGGGTGAGTGGAAAAGAAAAGTCGGCTGGGAAACAGGAGGCTAGGTCATTGAGAACCTTGAAAGCTACCATAAAATGCCCTCCAGCTCTTCAAAATGACAGGTGTGTGGACTTTGTTGACATATGGAAATGTGTGTTTGGAAAAAAAAAACAGAATGCAAAATAGTCTGTACACACTGACAGCTGGGRAAACATGCTACGCTCTGTTACACGTTTAGAGATCAGAAGGGCATCCGTGGTGCTGCAGGGTGCCAGTTTGCCACCTTCTTATTTATTTTTTCTGTAARTACCTAATGAAAACTAAGAGTAAACAAGAGGTCAGGCTGAGGGCTTTAGCTTTTAACCTGAGGCTATCCATGGGGAATCACTGCAGATTCTGTTTTCTCTTGTTTTTCATTGAGTTTTAATTYATAGACAGTTGACCCTCACTATTTTATTTGCAAATTCGCTTGATGGCTCAAATTTAATTGTAACCCCAGAATTGACACAGACATAGCTTCTAGGGTCATTCTCAGACACACACAGAGTGGTGAAAATTTTGAGTGGCCCAATGTAYATGTTCCCAGCTGAGCTCAAACAAGAGGACACTTGCCTTCTTGTTTCAGCTGTCATTATGTAAACAGGTGTCCTTTTCTATTTAGTGCTTATGTTTTTTCATATTTCTGGGATTAGTGGTTTTTGTTTTTTAGTGGTGCTGGGGATCGAACCCAGAGCTTTGTGCATGCTAAGTAAGCACTCTACCAACTGAGCTATTATCCCAACCCCCATGTTTTTTCATATTGCTATGCTTTTTCTGTGTGTGTGACTTAGTATAAAATACCTTTAAGTGTGGCGCAGAAGCACATTTTTTTGGGGGGGTACCAGGGATTGAACTGAGGGGCACTTAACCACTGAGCCACATCTCCAGCCCCCCCCCTTTTTTTTTGAGACAGGATCTCACTGAGTTGCTTAGGGCTTTGGCTAAATTGCTGAGGCTGGCTTTGAACTTGTGATCCTCCTGCCTCAGCCTCCAGAGCTACTGGGATTAAAGGTGTGTACCACCACACCCAGCTCAACAGTATGTATTAAATCAACAATATATATTAAATGTCTTTAATCAGAAGCCCACAAAACAAAGTTATGTATTGATCAGTTGACAAAAGTTGTAACTAGAGGTTCACAGAAACCTAACCCTGTATTTCCTCAGGAATAGTGATTCCATATTCAATATTGTGTTGGCTGCAAATTTATAGAATGTAACTATCACCGCTAAAGAGAATTGCAGGGCACAGTGGCGCACACCTGTAATCCCAACAACTGGGAGGCTGAGGCAGGAGGGTCGAAAGCTTGAGGCCATACTCAGCAATTTAGGGAGACCCTATCTCAAAATAAAAAAAATAAAAGGACTGAGGGTATTGTTCTGTGGTAAAGTATCCCTAGGTTCAATCCCTAGTACCAAAATAAATAAACAAATAAATAAAAGAATCGACTATACCACCAGATTTACCTGTTTAAATTCATTCTTTTTAATGTATGTACAAGGTCCTACAACCACAACCACATCGTCACTGCAGATTTTCGAGTAGTAAAATGGCCTTGCAGAGTGACTTGAGAATTGCCTGTCCATCTTTCCCTGTCTCCTGACCTCTCTGGTTCCTTTCAGAATGCCCAGGAGAACCATGGGCTGGCTGTGCCCACCCCTTCTGTCCCAGAAGACTTTGCAGACAAAGAAGTGACAGGTAAGAAGGCTCTGGGTTTGGGTTTTCAGCGTCTTTCTTCCTTCTTGGACCCTGAGCCCCAAAGCCAAGGATCTGGCCCACCTCCCCAGCTGGTGGCACAGCCAGAGCCCTTAGGCCTCTTGGCCACTGGTTGTGGTGGGTGGGAGCAGCGGGGAGCCGAGGAGAGCCAGGGTTGGCTAAGGCTACTGGAGGAGGAGGGGAAAGGGATAGCGACAGAACTGGGCTGCAGAAGAAATCAGGGCGCTGTGAAATGGTAGGAAGTATTCTGGCATCCGGTGAACCTGGCTTGGAACCCCAGCTCCCCCATATTCCCTTTGCCCCCTTGGGCAAGACAGCCTCTTGCACCTCTGTAGCTCCCCAGGACCGATGGGCAACAGTGCCAGCCTTGGAGGAGTAAATGAAGTGTTGGATGGCAGGGAAGTCACACTCTGCTGACAACCTGCCAGGGACTTCCAGCAGTCACTCAGAGGACCCACTCAGAGGACCGCTGGGTTTGGCTCATCACCTGCTCTTTCCCCTCCCACACTGCCCCTGGGCACTTAAGAACCCCAAGCATATGGCCACCTGGGGGGCTTTGCTCTGCTGTGCCCTCTGCATAGAGAGCCCCAGCGACTCCCACAGGGCTGTCCCTCCCTCCCTCCCTGTGTTCCAAGGTCACAGGCTCTTGGAGCCCTTGCCTGACCATTTTAAGCTGCCCCCTCAGCCTCTCCCTGTTTTTTCCCCAGTACATTCAACATCTGATGTGGTCATAACTTACGGATGTATATTTGTGTTCACTTCCTGTCCCTTGTCCCTTTAAAGTATAAGCCCYAGGAGGATCATGGGTATTTTGTGTTTTTGTTTTGTTTTGTTGTTTATTGCTCTATCTCAGCTCTGAACTCAGAGCTAGACACCTGGGGTCTTCTGAATGTGAGTTCTCCCTCCCCCACKCTTGGTCTTTTTATTGTTTGAAGTCAAGACAACTGGGAGGAGCCCTTCAGAGCTGTGCCTTCCCCAGGTTTGCCGTGCTGTGCTGTGGGGCACTGAGAGGGACACAGAGGACAGCTGTCCCTAAGAGGGAGGTAGACTCTGGGGAGCCTAGGTTGCCCAGGTCACCCCTGTTCCATCCAGCAGTCCAAACTCTGCTCCACAAGTTCTCTGTGGGGTTCTTGGTGGACTCAGGGTTTTTAGAGGCAGGGTTAGTTGTTCATGCATATGTCTCCCTCCCAAGGGTCTTTCCCGAAACCTTCCTCCCCTGCCCCATGGCTTCTTATCTCTGTCTCATGTGCCCTRTTTTAAATTGAAAAGTTAAGCAAAGATGCAGTAGTGGTTACCATTTATGAAGTGCCTCCTAAGGTGCCAKGGCAAGCTCTTTGCATGAATGTATAGGAATTTACTTAGTGTAAGTCCTAGAGGGGGCTCAGGCCTGGTGAAGGCCTCTGGGGGTCCACTCCCAGGACGCTCAGGAAACAAGAGACTTTGCTGCTCCCTCGCTTGATGTTCAGGAGGAAAGGGCTGAGAAGGGCCAGTGCTTCTCTCTGACGCTCAGCCCTGTGCGCACAGGCCGCTCCAGGTCCCCTCTGCATCTCTGCCTCTCCTTTCTTTCAGGTACCAGCTCACTGGTCAATGGCAACCTCCGACTGTACAGCTCTGTGGGTGACCTGAGGCCTGAGCACTATGGCCTTAATCTACTCATCCCCCCACCTCCCCCAGGCCCAGCCCCTGGGCCACCCCAGGACATTTCACAACCTCCAGTGGAGGCCCCACCACTGCCTCCATCTTTCACAGCTCCCCTACCACCTSCTCTGCGGCAGGAATCCCCACCCCCACCCCCACCCAGCACGGCCCCACCTCCACCTCCAGTACTGGACACCCTATCCCCCCCACCCGCTCTTTCCCCGCCCTCCACTCCCACCCCTCCTGACTTCATTCCCCCTGCCCCACCACTGGCCTTTCTAGCCCCTCCGCCACCCTCCTTGCCGGCCCCAGCACCCCCAGCTCCAGTGCCTCCTCATGCGATGGGGACTCGTCACTTTCCCCCTGGGGGTGTCACCAAGTGGAAATCAGAGGTAGCACTGAATGGCAGGCAGTCAGAGGCCCCTAGAACCAGTCCCCCCAGGAGCCCTGCTGAGCTAAAAGGGAGCCAAATGGGACCTAACCCAGAGCCCCACCTCACCTTCCCCCGTTCATTCAAAGTGCCTCCCCCAACCCCAGTCAGGACCTCATCTATCCCGATTCAGGAAGCACAAGGGGCTCCCCCAGAGGAAGAGGGGGCTACCAAGAAGGCCCCCAGCCGCTTTCCACTGCCTCCTAGCTTCCACATTCGTCCCGCGTCCCAGGTCTACCCAGACAGAGTCCCTGAGCCAGACCCCCCCAAGGAGCCCAGGGCAGAGGCACCAGCGCCAGACAGCCCAAGGCTCAGCCAGCCAGCAACCAAGGAACAAGCAGGGACTCTACCCCCAGCCCCTCCCCTACCCCCTCCTGCACCCCCCCTCCCTCCCCCTGCACCTCCCCTTCCTCCAGGGGCTTCTCCTTTGCCTTCTGCTGGGCAGGCAGCCCCTCCACCTTTCAGGTTTACCAAAAGCCCTAAATCCAGCTCACCTGCTCTCAAACCCAAGCCCAGACCCCCCAGCCCGCAGGACACCTCCTCTTCAGAACCTGTGGATTGGCGGGATCCCAGCCAGATGGAAAAGCTGCGGAGTGAGCTGGCAGCCTATCTCTGTGGCTCCAGGAGTCACAAGCCAGGCCCCAATGTGGCCTCTCAGGACAAAGAGGGCAAGAAGGGCCTCAGTCAGCTAGAGGAGGCAGCCCCCACCAGCCTGCCAGAGAAACCCCCCCCAGGCGCTCCTGAGAAGAGTCCCTGTAGCAGCAGTGTGCCCCTGCCYCCAGTGGACTACATCCCCCAAGACGCACCAACCCTCAGTGTTCGGCAAATCCGGAATGAGCTGGAGGCCAGGCTGTCCTCAGCTGCAGACAAGGAGACCAAGCCCAGCATCAGGTCTCTACCACCTAAACCTCGGCTGGAAGGGGGAAGAATTTTTGAAAATGGGACTGTTAATGGCAAATTCTCCAAGCCTATACCCAAGAATCCACCAGCTGTACCCACCATGCCTCTTCCAGCCACATCACTCCAATCCAAAGACACACCTGTGCAGGCCACACCACCCAAGACCACACCTGGGCCAGCCACACCACCCAAGGCCACACCTGGGCCAGCCACACCACCCAAGGCCACATCTGGGC